TGGACTTCAATGGTGGCCAACGGGTTGAAGGTCCAAATTGCAGTTTCAGTGCAGCTTCGAAGGGTTCAACACGATCCCAGCCGAGGAGTAAGGGTCTTATATAGAGAAACGATCAGCCATTTTCTAAAAAAAAAAAAAAGTATATGCTTTATAAACAGAAATGCGCGCCTTGCACTGCTCTGCTCTGCTCTCCATGACTTCACGCAATACGTAATTACGTTGAAAAGGTCACGCTTGACTTAGGCGGAAGTACTGACTCAGTCAGTGTTTACAAATGTGTGTGTGTGTGTGTGTGTGTGTGTGGTTTGAGCTCAGTAATGTCGTTACAGTATCTGAACTGTGTGTGTGTGTGTTTCAGGTGGATAAGATCCTGAAGGTGATTCCTCGCGACAGACGCACCTTTCTGTTTTCGGCCACCATGACTAAAAAGGTACAAACACACAGACTATGTTTTACAGTTTTTTATAAAACGGATAGTTCCAGTTCTTGATTCTGATTGGTTGAGCCGTGTTCGAAGCTGCTGTAAATTAGGCCCTGTCTTCACGAATGCGGGTGTTTTCAAAACCGCAGCTTTTTCTGTGCGGTCTGGCCGTTCGTCCACACGCAAACGCAGCACCAGGTCACTGAAACCGAACGTTTTTGAAAACGCCTGCCAGGGTGAAGATTTTCAGAAACTCTGGTTGCAGTGTTATCGTGTAGACGGCGAAACCGGAGTTTTTGGCTTGTGACGTCGGAGCCTGCGCTGTTATCTCCGCCTACTGAAGACTTTTTCAGGCTTCTGATTGGCCAACATGGCCTTACGGTTGAGATTATATCGCCACCTGTTGGTTTGGCATGATCTTGGCAGTGCTTTATAGCATGCGTTTTCATGTGGACAGATTTTTTAAAAACTGAAGAAGGAAAAACTGTTTATAAAAATGTCCGTGTACGTGTGGACATTAGGGCTGTAAAAATGACTGAAAAACTAAATTCGAATTATATTCAAATTTAAAAGGCATAATTTCAGTTAGGAGGAAAAATAGCTGGACGTGGATGAGACCGGAAGCCAGACCCATAGAATTTACAAATTACCCATTTTTATGGGAAGAAGAAGCTGGATAAGTTATATAAAGCAGTTAAATAAAGCAATTAGCCCCGTGGAGCCGTGGTTTACAGTGAATTTATAACAGCTAAG